TTAGCATCAGAAAGCATAGGAGACATGATAACAGTGGTGGGATTCAGCTAGTTCGCACCACTTCGGCAGAACCGGTAGCTAATTTTTTGTTGCCCAGGCCCAGAATGGACTTCCGGAAGCGGCATCCACACAGAGAACCGGTTGTTCACATATTTGAATCCCACCACTGCATTATAATCACAACTTTACCAGTGATAACTGTATATTGTCTGTAATTGTGAAAGGCTATGTTATATATCAGTGATTCTCAACCTTTTTAATGCCGCGACCCCCAACCGGTCGTAAGTCGAGGACTAAACCGGTCGTAAGTTGAGGACTAAGCCAATCGTAAGTCGAGGACTAAACCGGTTGTAAGTCGAGGACTACCCAACCGGTTGTAACTCGTGGACTTTCCCTGCCTGGGAGCGCCGCGCATGTGTGGTTCCGCCCCCTGCACCGGCCGAGGCGTAGCTGACAAGCGGCAGAGATGGAGCAGGCCGACCATCAGCTGGCCCAGCTCAAGGGAGGTAAGGCACCCGCCGGAAAAGGGGAAAAAAATGGCGGATAGCCTTGCTTGGCGACCCCCGTGAAATGGTCGAGCGACCCCAAATGGGGTCGCGACCCATAGGTTGAGAACCGCTGTTATATATAGTGTGTAAAATTAATTCTAACTTTCAGAAGGTTGCTTTTTTGAAACAAAAACAAAATGACAAAAATGTTTTGAGAAATCCTATCCAAAGATCATAAACAAGTGTTGGGTTAATTTATGCTAATTTTGAATTTTCTAACCTTTTTTACAGCTGGCACAAATAAAGCATATTTGAAAGTATTTGTATCCCATTGAAGGGGCAAAATATTGAGAGTAGGAATAAAATCAGAGAACGAGACAGAGAGAGAGAGGCAAAGTTTTAAAAGCTTAAGAGATATATGCAAATGAGAAAATTTTCTGTGAAGAAACTGAAAAGGAATTCCATAATATTAAATTGAATATTGAAAGATCAATGGTAGCATTGTAAAAGTGTGCGTTATTCTCCAGTATGCTTCGCAATTGTTTTTAAGGGTGAAAAAGTTGGAGTGAACAATCTTATAAATCAGTCAACAGGACCAATAGTTTTGATTCAGACTTTTGCCCAAAACTACTGCTGCAACATTTTTTTAAGATAATGTTTTACCAGATGAATTAATTCCCTTTTTAGGAAAGCAGTAAAGTACCCACTTTTTCTATTAAACTACCCCAAATTAAAGTACTACAGGTTTATAAAAAGAAAAAAAATACAAAGTGGAATTCTAGATTTCTAATATACTGTATCATTTTGTTTTTGAGCATTTCAGTTTTTGTGCATTTCATTTAAATTACCATAAAAACTGTCTAATTACATGGTTAGAATTTTGTATCCTGCTATTTTGTGAAAAATATTTTGCCTGATCGTTTTTTATTTTTTTACAGTAATGATTAATCAGTTGATATTAATGCAAAAAAAAAACCCCCAAACCCTAAAAAGTTATCCTTATGCCTCAGAAGGAGGACAAATACTCTGGATTCACTTATTATATTTACTGTAATATTAACTCATAGCTTATAAAGTGAATGAAAAATTGTTTCATTGTTAATCTGTAATTAATATTGTTAACATTAATCACAGCTTGCCAGGTCAGACAAAAAATACAGACACTAATAATAATTAATAAATAATATTAAATAATAATATTATATAATAATAATAATAATAATAATAATAATAATAATAATAATAGTACTGTGCTGGAAAGAGGATGTTTGATTCTTAGCTGGGATTGCCAATATACATAGCCCATCATTTGGTTGACCAATTCTGCAGGTTGACCTATATTTATGTTTATGTGGCTTATGTGTGTCTGTACTAAAAAAAATATGTCTTTCAGGGGCTTTGTGTTGATTCTTGGTGGTCTGCTGGGTGCAAATCTAGATATTGGTTGTCGCCTGTAAAGCCATTCATGGGTTCTGATTGCTTTGAGAACCAATTTTTCCTGTTATTTGTTCTTTGGGAGAGTTAATGTGCTCTAGATCCCAATTATAAAGCACTGTCACTTTGTGGGACCCTAGGATACATGACTTTGTGGCAGCTGTGCCTGCTCTCTGAAACCTCATATCTATCCAGGTGTGCACATGTGTCACCCCTTTTGCAGCAACTGCATTGGCTGCCTATTTGCTTATTGGTGCTATTTGTCACCTTTAAAGCCCTTCGTGGCTTGGTACCAGCATATCTGAATGACCATCTCTTCCCATTTACATCCACCTGCCCACCAGAGCAGGAAGGCAGGGAATGTTGCCTAGGCAGGTACATCTAATGGGAACCAGAAAAAGGGCCTTCTCCGCGGTGGCTCCCTCCTTTTGGAACATCATTTTCACAGGGATTAGACTGGCTCCCACTTGGACTCTCTTTCTCAAGACTCCAAAGACCTGGTTTTGCCAATGGGCCTGGAGAACCCAAGATGTGATGGATCCCATCAAGTGGTTCCTTTGATTGCTTGTTTCTCCAGCGAGGTGGGGTGTTATTTCTTTTATTCTTTTTATGTTGGATTTTTTTATTGTTTGTAAGCCGCTCAAAGTAAGTAAATCCAATAAATAAATAAATAAATAAATAAATAAATAAATAAATAAATAAATAAATAGTAGTTTAGTAGTTAGCTAGCTAGCTAGCTAGCTAGCTAGCTACTTAGTTAAAACCTGCCTTGCTAATCAAGTCCTGTTGTAGGGAAAGTGACTTCCTCCCTGGTAGTATAGTGGGGAAATAGTTTATGTTACTGTCCTCCCCAATCTGTGCTATGCATTGTTTTTAAGATTGTCTTGCTTGTTTTGAACAGCTAGTTGATCTTTTAATCCTAATGTGTAAGTCACTTATGATAGAGACAACATTGAAGTTGACAAATAAACTCTTAACCCACAGAACCATTCAACTATGCATAACATTCTAGTTGAAATAAATGTAATAGTTTTAGATCCATAATTTAGATTGGGCAATAAATCTCTGGAGTATTAGAAATAAATCATTCTATAATGGCAATTAAATATAATGCTACAAGTCATTTTATTGGAACAACTGTTTTGTTAAAAAGGCTGTCCTTGGAGACCCTTAATTGAGTTGTAGAATTTGATAGAAACAATTGAGGCAGGGCCCCTGCTCTTATTACTGTAGGCCTAATTATTCACATAAGAAGGTAAATCATGATGAAATGGCCTGTTATTAATAGTTAGGGAAGACATTTATCAAATGCAGACATGCTGCACAAACAAATTATATATTTATATGTATAAATTGAGCTGTATTTTTACATAATTTCCATTTTATAAATTTTAGGTACATGGAGAAATAGAATGAGGAGGATTAAAAAGTATCAACTAATTACCAGCACTAATTAAATAAATCTAGCCTTTTTTTCTGAAGGCAAAATGCACTTAAAATAAGTTGCTGAACATTTTGCTTTGAACTGTAAATTATTGTAAGATTATTTTTCATTCAGGCCTTAAACTATAGGGAGCTTAAGGATTCAGAATAAGAATTATGAAGAAAACTTCAAATGGACTGAGGAAAACCATATAATTTTCAACATTGAGTTGTGTAATGGGATTAGTAACTTGGCAGAAAATTCTATGTATACACACAAATGTGTGTGTGTATGTGTGTGTACATATAGAATATATTCTTGTTTTAACAAGTTGCTTACAGATTTTTGTGCAGAACAAGATGTGAAAAAAAGCTGTTGAAAGAAAAGACACCTCTGCTGCAGAGCTACTGTGTTCATTGTGGTACAGTGATAGTAGATGTATCACTCATGCTGACTGTGCTTATACAATTCAACCAGTAGCAGCATTTGAGATAAATGACAGCGATTGTGTATGTGCACAATGTCATCTGTAAATTATATCACAGAGCAAACCTTTGTTCCTTTTTGAGTGTGCTGTACTGTAGTGATTTAACATTTCCATGCTGAGCAGGCTAGCAGAGCAGAAACCAGAAGCAAAAAAACGTAGGTGATCTAGAAATTAAGGAATTCTAAAGTTGCTGGGTGTTAGGCCAGTGGAGGTGAGGATCCAGAAGATAAGACCTGAGCATTTTATGACCTGCAAGCTACATCTGGCCCACAGGCAGTTCCAGTACAGCCCATGGCATTGGTAGTGGGGGATGGGACATTGGCAGGGGGTGGGGCATCAGCAATGGAGCATCGAAGGGTGGGGCAGAGGTGCAGCAGCAGTGGGGGGAGGAATGGCAGAAAGAGCGGGGCGGTGGGGACAGGGAGTGCGGCGTAGGCCCTCCACAACATTCCCAGTTTCAGTTTTCCCCTTGGGAAAATCCCTGCAGTAGATTCTCATTTTGCAATAGATTCTCATCTTCCTGGACCTTTGAGGGTCTTTTTGAGGCTAGAATTTCCTGACTTTGGAAAGAACCAATAAAGTTCTGGAGAGGTGTTTTCTGAATGATCTGGATGAGTACATTCTGAATTATCATGGAAAATTGGAGCTTTTTATGACCAATTTCTACGTTATAGATCTTATATCTACCACCATTTAAAAAGAGATCTGCTTCAATTGTTAATGCTATTTGAATATTGTAGGTTATTACTGTTACTTTTTTCTACCACATATAACACATCAACAAATGTATATTGCACCATATTCATATGCATATTCATATAATATTTTTCCAGCTATAAATTCATTACTTAGATTTCAGTAGAATTAATTTATGAGTGATATCTATTTGATTTTAATGAGAGATTGGTTTAACTGAAAAATCTGGAGATCTTTAAAACACTCACAAACAGAAAGCGAAATGATTTCAGTAAATCTCCTTGCCGGTGTTCCCATACTTGTTGGATTATCTATAGACTGTTTAATTTTAATGATTAAATATAAATATGAATGTACATATATTTCAGAATCAATTGCTTTCTCTTGCAGTTTGAGCATATTCTGCATTATGAAATATAGAATATGAATATTGAAACAGTTTTGATTTTGTGCTTCTCTTTAAATTTCCCAGCTAGCCAAAAAAATTCGGGAAAAGTTTAACCGTTACTTAGATGTGGTAAATCGAAACAAGCATGTCGTGGAAGCTTCGTATACTGCTCACTTGACATCCCCTCTCACAGCAATTCAGGACTGTTGCACCATCCCACCATCTATGATGGAGTAAGTATTCAAATATTTTCTATTGTTTGTTTGTTTGGTAGTCATTGGATCTGATATTGGATCAAGAAGATCTGCAATAAGAAAGAACGAAGAAGACCATGTTTAAAGTATAAGGGCTTTGAGGAGAAACTTCAGAAGTGGTTCCACATTAAATGTTGATAGCATGGGAATCATGAACAAGGAAAAATGGTATAGGGCAGGGGTAGGCAACCTTGGCTCTTTTATGACTCGTGGACTTCAACTCCCAGAATTCCTGAGCCAGCATAGTCCACAAGTCATAAAAGAGCCAAGGTTGCCTACCCCTGGTATAGGGCTAGGGTTATGGTCTTCCATGAAATCCCTCTGGAATGGGTAGCTGAAAGAAATTTATGCAATTTATATGATATGGAATAAATTATATATTTTATATGGAGCATCTGGGGTGAAATCAAATATTATTCATGTGCACTTCATTAGTCATAGGTCATAGGTGAAAAGAAGAAATTCCAGTGATGTAGCAGTGGAAAAAATTCTTGGGTTTTACTTGCAATGGATTATTATATAATAGCACAATTACAATATTGTGTCAGGGACTTGTGCAACTATATTATGATAGCAAGGAAAATATATTGCTCATGGGGTGTAAATATAAGGAATATATTACTATTATTATCAGCTGAACTCAACCTGCTACAAGATAAAGGCCTGTTCATTGAATGTTATGGATTGTAATCTATGCCAATCCAATGCAGGATGGTAGAAATATTTTTTTTATATCCCAAATTAGGCCTGACTTGCCTAAAGTCACCAATATGGCTTCTATGTCTAAAAGAGAATTATAATCCGGGTCTCCCCAGTCATAGTATAGCATCTTAATTATTATACCACACTAACTCTCAAGGAATAGAAATATCTATCTTTCTATCTGCCAGTCAATCAATCAATCGGTCACAAACCCTAACATATAACAAAAAGTTGTTTGGGGAATAGTGATTAGTACTGGTTATTTTAAAATAAGGCTAACCTGAATATGGAAAAAAAACTGTTATAAAAGTTAAGAAGTTGACTGATGAAGACTATCTGTCCACAAAAAAATATCCCTGAGCATGTAATGCATGTAGCCCTTGGGTCACAGGCAGAGACCATGGGCAGATGCTACCGAATGCAGGCAGAAGGGGTGTGCCAAGAAGCATGATATCCTTTTTCCAAGATGCTTTTTTTGAAGAAGAAAAAAAAAAGCGGCATGAACAACTTTTGGGAGTGACTTTGCTTGTGGATAGCTAGCAGGGAAGGTCACATATAGCAAGCATGGCACTGTGCAATACTGCAACTGTTGTAAGTGCTAGCTAGTTGCCAAATGTCCAAATTGCGATCATGCAACTATAGGGGTACTGCAACAGCTGAAACTTTGAGGACTAGACATAAGCACCACTCATCAGTGCTGTAGTAACTTTGAACAGTCGGTAACCAACTGTTCATAACCTAAGGACTACCTTAAGTTGTATGGAAAATCTCACTAGATTCATAGTTTACATTAAATGGACTTGCCCTACCTTGCTTAAGCACATTATTTAGTGCCAAAAGTGGGTTCCGCATATTTAAATATTATTAATAGGCATTATAAGCCCCTTATTGCAGTTATATATTGCATTAATTGCCAGTGTCTGAGTGGACATCTGCCAAAGTCCCAAGTGAATTTCCTATAAGCAAACAGCTTTTATGCAGCCTTATTAAAACATGCTTCTGTTTTACTAGCTTAAGACTTCCTTAATTATAATGATAAACTACTACAAATGCAAAATTACTACAAATATTATTTGTATATTTTAATAAACTTAAATTGGTTTATAATGGTAGTTTTGAGATGATCCAAACTTCACCTGTCTCAACTTATTTTAAGCCATGCCAAAAATAGCAGAGCCTAATCTTAAAGGAGCTGTTATTCAGGGGTGTGCCTAGATGCACTTACTGAATTCTTTGAAGTAGCTGTACGGAAATCAGTAAATACATTTGAATTGTGTACATCAGTAAAATACATTTGAATTGTGTACAAAGAATACCTAACATAGTTCTAAAGGCTGGAATAGAGGTATTTGTACCACACTGCAGTTGTTCATTTCATATAGTCATGAGCAACAACTTATGACCATTCACAGATCTGAACGAATATTGCAAAATGGAAAGACTTGAAGTACACATCTCTGAGATCAATTGTGTTCTTCATTATTTAAAAAGAACACCATTCCAAACTCTCTTTTGCTCCTTAGAGCTGGAAGAGATAGCTGGGATAACAAAGTTTGTTATTTCTTCCTAGCCTTAGTTAATATGCGATAATCCTGTGGAGATTGTTTTTTTCCTAGGAAAATTGATAAAACTGTGCTGAATGCTTTATAGATATTTTATTTTGATTGCTCAGTGCATTTAGGAGGCACTGTTTTTTATTATCGAGCCCAGTGTTGACTCCTGGCAACTGCATGGCTAAGTTCATGCACGTTTCTTGACAACGTTTTCAGAAGTGTTTTGCAATTGCTACCCTTATGTCAGTGGTAGGCAACTATGGCCCCTTTAGAGCCTTTGGACTTCAACTCCCAGAATTCCACAATTGACTTCCAGGCCTAAGGCAGCACTAGAAGTCATAGATTCCTAATTTCTCGTCCAGCACATTTAGCCACTACTTTTGAAGGGTCATCATGCCTAGTATAAACCTATTTAAAACTATTAAAGATAATTATTGGGAACTTTAAAATTGATAGCATATTAAATCCTTAGTAACTGATAAATTCAACTTATATGTGCCTCAATTTTGTTTTCTGTACCTTAATTAATGTTAGTGATTGGGTTTTTTAAAAAAGATTCATCTTAAGTGTTGCTTTTATTTATCTCACTTGATGAAAAAATTGCACTGAAGAACTGTTTAGCTCTATAACTTATTCCTTGACCACTCTGTCTTGGATACATTAATGTAATATTTAGATAGATAAACCTATAGATCTGTTTTTGAAGATCATTTACGATGATTCCTTTAGAAAGTGACCTGGCTCCCTCTTACAAAATAGCTGCTTAAATATTTGCTATTGCAGCTTTAGCTTTATCGCAGCTCTTTCTTTTGTTTATCTGTCCTCTCCTGGGCTGTGAAATGGAGAGATAAGGAAATTCCTATACTGATCTTTCAAGTTGTTTGTGCAGTTACATTGTCAGGAATGCTAAAATGGTTTAGTTTTAGTACAGGATAATCTCAACATTATGCAAAGATAGTTGCAAATATTAGGAAAGTCTGGTGATCTTGTAAATGGAGGAGGGGATGATATATGTTTATATTGTTAGATACAAATTAAATTATAGTATTTAATTTAAGGCTACAATGTCTGCGCTCCAGAAATCTGGAAATTATTAGATAACAGCAAACAGATTTAGAAAACTCTTTGCTGCCATTTAGTGACCATCTGGATTTATGTGACCTAGGCCAGTGATGGCAAACCTTTTAGAGACCAAGTGCCCAAATTACAACCCAAAACCCACTTATTTATTGCTGGGTGCCAGGTGGGTGTGGCCCACTGGGTGGGCATGGCTGTGGTGGTCATGGCAGACTAGGTGGGTGTGGCCAAGGTGGGTGTGATCACCTCGATGTTGCTCCTGGGGAGAGATGCCTGTGGGTGCCGGGCAGGGTTGGGGGAGATCCAGGGGGTCTCTGGCAGGTGGGGCGGTGGGTAGGAGGCTCGTCCTGCTGGGTGAGGCGAGGCAAGGCGAGGCAGGGTGGGTGTGCCATTGTCACAGGGCAAGGTGAGGCAGGGGCCGGGGCGGCTATTGCCTGATACCATCAGCCGCTGCACACAGAGGCCAGTGAGTGCATGGGTGCTGGGATGCATCTGGCCATGCGGGATCTCGGCGAGTTAGTGGGCGGCTGGTTGAAGACGGACAGTTGCCATCTCTGGGGCATGGCGTGCGTGCCCACAGAGAGGGCTCTGAGTGCCGCCTCTGGCACGCGTGCCATAGATTCGCCACCACTGACCTAGGCTAATTTGTAGGATAAGAAAGGCAGAAGATAGATAGACATAAATTACCTGGTACCCTGCAGATGTTTTGAGTTTCAGTTTCCATAACTGGTAATTACTGAACATGTTTGGTGGTGTTTATGGAAGTATGTAAAATTTAGGAAAGGACATGATTGGCAAAGAATGCAATTATGCCACTGCAGCTTTTCCCAGTTGCTAAATGAATTCGATAATACAACAGAATTCCTAGTATCAGGTATTCTCATGCTGAATTCAGTATTAGGATAATGCCACAGGGCTGCATTTCTTTTATCCAGTGTTTGGATAGACCATGACTTAGTCAGATGAATCTTAGTTAACTGTACTATCCCATCAAAGCAGGCCTCCATTATTAGCTTAGATTAATACTCAATTGGAACTTTTCAAAAATGCTGTTAGTTTTATGTATTTTAGTTCTGCAGTATGCAAATAAAATATTGATTACAAGAACATGGCTGGCCATTAATAAAACATATTAGTTCAGCGTTCTAAAGAAAACTGTGGTTTCCGAATGACCTTGTTCTGCAGCTGGTATTGGGGAACACTAGAATGAAGCGTATTCATGAGAAATTTACAGAAAATATGGCAAAATAACAGTTAATATAGTAACCACATTCAGCTGGTGACTAGCATTTTATATGCCCATGTCTCTTTCTTCATTTTATGCAGCTGAAACTGCATAAAAGTTTATTTATTTGTGAATAGTGAATAAAATCCCGTTGGCGCTTACAGGAACACTATTTTGATGTAAGATTCAAAGCTTCTGCAAATTTATTTTATCTTCTCCATTTGCTGATCTTCTGCTTGTAAATCTTGTTGAAGGAGAATAAAAATGACTGCTGCCTGATGGGAATTAAATGTCTGAAGTTCAAAGCGCTTTGCACATCAGAGCAAACGTCAATCAAATGAACATCTTGCAAGCTAGGCAGGGAGCGAATTTCTCCATGGGGAAGAGATCAAAGGGGGAGTCACAGTTCTGTTTTTCCCCCCTCGGGATGCAGTTTTGACCAGTTGTTCATTAAAGTGAATCCAGAAGGAAGAGTTTTCATATACTGTAGAATAGAAAAAGAAAAGTAGGAGAGAAGACAATTTGGGATGGAGCTGGATGTTATTTCCTCTTGGAGCCAACATTAAGCATCATTTCAGATTGCACAAACTATTTGCCACTAAAACCTACTCTCCCATTGTTGTAATAAGGTACATTTTGAATTTTTATTAATAACTTTTTGTGATAAATCTACATTTTATGAATTAACAGAATAACTCCTCTGTCTGTCTAAATTCTATATTTAAATGTTGTAGATTGAGAATTGATTTGTATGTTGATGCAATAAACATATACTTATTATATAAACACTTCTTAGAGTTTATAAATAAAACACCTTTTAGGACAAAAGATGCACTTAATTATTCATTTGGTTTTTAGTCAGAGGAATTAACTACGATAGCAGGTTTAGAGTTTATTAAAGGTGTTGGAAATAATAACCATGATAAAGCAGCTGGAGAAATTATACTCTTGACTTTCTTTTTAGTGAGGACAGCTTTGGGAATGCAAAAAAGTTCCTATAGGAATCTGCAGTACTTCATGCTAACTGTTAAGGGAACATTTAATCCTGACAAGATAAATTTGATTTAACTCTAAGTAAACTTGAGTAGGCTGAAGAATGCATAGCTCATTTTATTCAGTCTGTTCTTACATGAATATAACCAAAATATACTTTGGAATATGCAAATAGATCATTAAGGGTTTATTATCTCTTAGGTGATACTGTAAAAATGTATTTATTTATTACATTTATATGCTGCTCATCTTACTTAGCATTTTCTTCTTCTTTGCAATATCATTTGGCAGATGAATAAATGTATAAAAGGTTGGAAATATTTCTGATTTTTTATCTGATCCACTAATGAATATAGTTGAGATCGGAGAAATTTTGGTTTTGTTGTCAACATTTTTTGTTTTGAAAACTCGGTAAAAGTCTGTCTAAATTATCCTTCCATAATTTCATCCTTCTTTGATTCTGAATATATTACCATAGATAAATAATGGAAAACGAATCTTTCAAAATACAGAACAAAATTTCATTACCAAATTATTGAATATTGGATTGTATGACATGTCCAAAACTACAGTCTTATTCTACCATCTTACCATTCTGCTACTAATATTGGTTTGGGAAGAAATTATGCAGTGGGGTACTTCATATTTTCTGGCTCTTAGAGAACACAGGCAATGTCATGCCACATTTAGTGCCCTAAAACCTTATTAATTTATTGAACTTTCATGTTTTATTCTATTGACAGCATAGTCTTTCTCCATTCCTCATATACTGTATGTCTTCCTTGCTATTCCAAATATTCATGCATGCCATTTCTGCACATCTATTTCAGTATGCGTTTTTGTCATAATACACATAAAAGCCACCTCCATGCTTTCCCATCCATACCCATTGAAAGAGTATGCTATTTATTTTTAAAAAATAATTCACTCCAAATAAGTTTTTAGGTTTAATCTGGCTCGGGGCAATGCATGGATTGTGCCTTTTTTTGGATCAGGGATGAAATAATAAAGCCACCCTTATTTTTCCAATTTCCTTTTTCTCCTATAGCCCCAACTTTCAGTTGAAAGACATCTCCCAACAGAGACTTGTAGGTAAAGAGTCTAGGAATCTTTGTAGATGCCAAAGGGTTAAAAAGTCTTGTACCTCTCATACTATGGTTTAAATCTGGATTTGGTGCTTTGGTTGGAACTTACTATATATCTCTACTAGTGAAAAAAGAAATATCTTCCTCTGAAGAAAAAAGTTTGGGTCAAAGTGAAGAAGCCCATACAGCTAGAATATTCCCATCTTTCTGCAGAACAATTATACCACTTAAATGAAAATGTTGAATTGTAGAATTTGCTACAAATCAAAGCTTTTCTTCCTTCACATGTGGCTTTATTTGGGTTGATTGCCGTTTATTTGATGTCTGTTTCCAAGATGCCTCTGTGTTTGTAAATCAAGTTGGCCAGTCTTCTCGATATTTAAGGCTGTTGGCAGTGATGGGGAAAAAAACTGTCTGTCCCTATAAAAATTTGAAACAAGTATACATGCTTATTTGTCTAATTTATTTTTCTCTTGGGCTCATTTCAGGTTTGATGGCAATTTTAACACTAACGTGTCTAGAACCATTAGCTGTGATAGATTGTCCACCACCGTGAATAGCAGAGCATTCAACCCTGGGCGTGATTTAAACTCCGGTATGTAAAGCATCTGTTTTGCAGAAGTTGCTGTATTTTACTGCCAAACCTTAGAACCAAGTGCCATAGCAACCCAATTTTACCCCCCCCTCTGAATCTGCTACATTATTTTTCACTTAAAGATATAATGATAGAAAGATGATTTCCTACAGTAATGGTTTTAGTTATAAATTTATTTCAACATTCTATGTAAGAACTGTTGATGATTATAGCAAACATTTTTTCTCCCTGTTCCATCTTCTCTGACTGCTCTGCCATCAGTTATGTCAATTCCCAGTAGCAAGAATCCAAAATGCTTACGATCTCAGAAAATTCTACCTAATGTGCAATTCTTCTGCAGTCATCACCTTTAATTTTGATGTTTGAAGATGCCTTGAAATTTTTTTTTTTACTTCTTTAATGCACCATGGGGTTTCTGTCATGAGAACAGATCCATTTGTTTGCTACTTTTTAAAAGAGGAAGGGTGGTGGTCTTCCTGTCTAAGGCTGTAAGGCTTTCACAAGAGATTCAACCTTTGGTTAATGTAGTCTTTACTTTCTGGCTTTGCTTTCAAATGTAAATACTGTTTTTAATGTATTGTGAAGTGGGGGCACTCTTTTTCATCTAATACTCTAGTCTAGATGATAGTTGTACCATGTTGTAATTTCTTTTCACTTAAACATTTTCTTTTTCTTTTTTCTTTTCTATAAATGAAAATGAAGCAGAAGACAGGATAAGAGCTGCTCAGATCAAAGCTGAAACTAAGATGTGTTAGGTTTGAGGGAATCCAGTTTTTTACATTCCTCCTTTTACTACGACTGATAGGGATACTTATTCCTTATTTAGGATTTTAAAAAAGACATTCTTGTGAAGATGGGCTCATTAGCAAATCAAATGGTGTTTCAATCTTGCTCTCTTTCCTTTTCTGCTTCCTGGACTATCCTTACTTCTTTCTTCAATGAAGGGAAATTAAGGTACCCCTACAGCAGGCTCTTTGATATGGAAACATCAAACTGCAGTAAAGTCATGGCCTGGCTTTAAAGTGCTTTGTTACCTTTTCCTAGCTTCAGAAGTGCCTATATCAACAGTAATGACTGAACATGAGAAGGGGTGGAGTTGATTATTGAAAATGGTTTGATGGTATATACCTCTCTGTCAGTTCCATTGTTTTTTCGTGATTCAATATTAATATTTTTTCGTGATTCAATATTAATATTTCCATGTCTGCTTTCATCTGTGGTGACCTGGTGTAGATTGTCAATCTGTCTAGCATTACCAAATTTACAAATCAGTGCTGACCATTTGCATGTGAATGGATACTAGAGAGAGAGGGAAGGAGGGAGGGAGGGAGACTTGCTTCCATCTTTGCATTCTGCTCTTACTGGGTTAACATGAGTCTTCTTGAAACATTCCCAAAATAGATGTACTTAACTGCTGATTAAGCCCTACCCACCAGGGATATCCCTCAAATAATACTTGTATAAGAAAAGTTCAAAAAGGTTTGCAGGCAAATAAAATTCCAAATGAGTCAAGGTTAGGTACATCTATTTTGCTCTAACTCCCCAGCCCCAAATACCTGCTTCTAAAGCCTATAATATCTCATTGTAGGAGTTCCATGATGTAAAACGTTTGTCATGGTGTCACCTTTTTACATTCCTGGTTTTGAGAGTTGTACCTTAGCTTGTTTCAATGAAGCTTCAAAGGAAGCATTATGCTCCTATGAACCTGTTTTTACAGATCAGGGAGAAAAGACAGTAAGAACTCATCTTTTCGTTGTTCATGTTTGGAATTTATTCTTTTCTGTATGTTTTGCCTTTGAGAAGGAAAGAAAGTAATTTCCCCCCTCCTCAATTAAGATAAAAGATTAATACACGAAATCAGTAGGGAAACTATTGTCTACTTCTTGAATAATGTGGTCACTTTTCAAAGGATAGATTGTCTCTGAAAGTTAAACAGTCTTACAAAATTAATTGCTTTGTTCCTTATCTTTGGAAAATTCTGGACCTTTCCCCTTTTTTTCCTTCAGCAAGTTTAGTTCATTTGCCTCCTCTTGGGGAAAACTACTGATTTTGCTATAAAGCTGTGCTTATTTTTCTATGACCACAATATACAATCTTTTTTTTAGATTAGGAAGGGACTATTTCAGCTGGAAAAAAATTGCTTTCTTCCTCCCTTCAGGTGTACTTTTTAGCTTCCATCTCCTCAAACTGCAAGAATTCCCCACAGGGATGCCTCACTTTCTTCCTTGCTTAAGACTGTAAGACAGTTTTTCTCAACCTTGACAATTTTAAGGCATGTGGACTTCAACTCCCAAAATTCCACAGCCAGCAATGCTGGGAGTTGAAGTCCACATGCCTTAAAATTGTCAAGGTTGAGAAACACTGCTGTAAGAGATGTGATTTAGGACTCTATTTTTCTTCATTCCACCTGCTTTATTCTTTAAAATGCAATTCTGCACTTTAATATCTTCCAATATCTACAACAAAACTAGTTTGGGGAGACGTTACATACTCTCCAAAGACAGACAGAGGTATTGCAAGCTGTGTTTGCAAGTTATAACTGTGTTTGTCAAGCTGCATTTTACTTCAAGAATCACTAGCTAACTGTGATGTCTGATAAAACTCTGCTGTGATTTTCAGTTGTTATTTTATGCCAGATGATGTGAGAGCCTTGTAATAATTAATAAGCTAGAGGTTAGGCAGAGCAGATTTATTTTCTGTTTCTAGTGTTAGATATTGTATAACAATATAGCATAGTAATATAGATTTTGCATGTAAATCTATCTGATATCTAATGAATGTCTTGTAGTCAGATTTTTTCAGGGAAAAACCTCCAAATTGTTGGAATCCAAAAATTATGCAATCAGGTGTTTATCTGTGCTGTAGAGTTGCAATGATTAGTTATTCCTGTGGAAATGATTTTGGGGAAATAGATTTACTGTGTTTTATGTCTAATATTAGGTGTTCTCATAATTGTTTTGATTCCTTTGTTTGTTTTGTTTCTCCTTGCTTCATTATGCATAAATATTTGTTCTCTTGTTCATGTACAGTATATATCTACTGAATTATATATGTAATTGATACTCTGGTGAAAAACAGTGCGTACCAGTTTGGGTCTCTAGATTATATACAGTATGTCTCCATCTATAGGAAATGGAGATATTGGTCAGGAACAGAGTCCAGCAGCATCTAGAACAGATGTGTCTAACACATTACTAACCGTGGACACTACCAATGCAGCTCCACAAGATAATAAATATTTTAAAAGGTTTGTTATTTATGCATATTAACTATATTCTATATTTTATATGCATCCCAAGACAATTCTTCTTCACTCAATGTGGCCCAGGGGATTCAAAAGGCTGGACAACCGTGTTCTAGAGTCTTCGGGTTCAAAACAAACTCTTTTTAAAATCCAAAAGAAAAAAAAATGAACAGAAACAAAACTAAACTAAACAAAAAGATTGAAAAGAATGTGAATTAAAAAAAACAAAGGACAAAAACACAACTCTTCACTGTTCGTTAGCAATAAAAGGCAACTCATGATCAATTCAAGGTTAATTTAAATTTTACTCTTAGCATTCCAAAATGTAATGACATTAGTTATACATTTTCTTCCTTGCCCAGTCTGGAAACGCTGTGGAACTTTGGCCAGGAACTTGGGGCTGTTGGGATTTAGATGGGTCAAAACAGGCTGAAGTCAAGCCAAGTGAGATGAAATTGCTGTTGGTCCAGCATGTTTGGGGTTTAAATCTTTGATGACACTTCCTCCTAAGGAGCAAGTCGGACTCCCTCTGAACACATAATAAAGATTGATAATTTTTTTGCACAAAATGATAGCAGTTCTTTCCTTGCTATAAATTTCATTCATGGTGTGAAGAGAGGACCAAAGGTGAACCATGCATAATGTCAGTTTTATGAAAATAATAACATTCAGCACCTAAAGATAATACTTCCAAGACACAAAGCATATTGAAACAGTTAAACATTCATCTTCAGGGCCAACCTGTACTAAAAACACAGCATAGTTTACTTATTGCACAAGGTTACTTTGATAAGTTACTCTTGAATATGGGTGACATAGGCTGGAAAACAGCAGTCCCTGTACCATATTTCTAGATCAGTGTTCTAGAAACAACCAGAAGGCGATAGTTCCTTTAGGAGAAAGATTCTGGACTGGTAGCAGAAACAGGAAAAGCTTAATTCAAAAGAATATAGTTTTTACATATTTGCTGCGGCGTCTGGCTGAGTTGGGAGTGGGAGGCACGGTTATGCGGTGGTTCTCCTCCTTCCTCACCGACCGCACGCAGTCTGTATTGGCAGGGGGGCAGAGGTCGGCCCCAAGGCCCCTAACTTGTGGGGTGCCACAAGGGTCGGTCCTCTCCCCCTTACTGTTCAATATTTATGTGAAGCCGCTGGGGGAGATCATNGAACTGTATATCTCATTCAAATGCCATGAATATTGAGGATCTTGAAAAAAACAGTTGCAAAAGCAAGCTTTTTGCTATATAATTCTTGGTCTTTTCTACTAGCATTTAGTATCTTCCTCATTACCTCACAACTGCAGTTAACATTCACTCTTTCCACTGAAGAGAAAAAGTGCTACGTCTAAGTTGCAGAACTGATTTTTATGGGCTATTTTTGGACAAAGTCTTTTTGAGCTTTTATGCATTAGGTTTCCTGAACAACACTGATGCCAAAGCAAGAAAGGTTGTTGGCATATAATGTAGTCCATATTTTTATATCAAATTCCAGAGTGCTGAAGTTTCACAAAGTCCCAGAAAGAAATATTATGTAATGGCTATAGGTAATGATATATCTAAGAACGTGACATGATGCTTATCAGGTTCCCTGGCTCTCCTGCTTTTTAAATAAGTTTTTAAAATGGGAATCCAGCCTGTCACAAATCATTGCAGCATTTTTAATCTGAAGGATATCAAATCTCCCAGAAATGAGGGGCATACATACAATGAAAGGTTGAGTATGCAGTAAAGTGTGCATGAACGATAATCAGAGTTCAA